AAAACCCAGGTGGTGAACAGCACTTTTTTATCTAAAGAAATTGTAGCTCCAATGGGTATAACTCATAAATTTCCTAGTTGCTGGGTAATTACCTAAAACATTTATATGTAGTTTTCAAAGAACTAACAATCTTTACTAAAACCTACTTCAGCACATTCCCTACTCATGCGAAAATGCTTTACAAAAAGATCTCCCATATATTGGGGAATGGTTTCCTCATAAAAATTTTGATTACGAGGCACTTGAGCTCTCTCAGCATTATTCAGCTCTAATTCTTCAGTTTGTGCCAACTGATCCACAACATTTCCAATTAGCTGGATATTATTTTCCTTGTCCGCTAGTAATGTGACGTAAAGTTTAATAATATTTAAAAGTCAAGCTAAATTGGCAATCTAATACATAAACAAAAATATTTAATTTTAAAATGACAAATTATTTGACATTGACAGATAAGGTAGCGGTAGCGGAATCCAGCAGGTTTTGACTTATGACATTTGGTCGAGCGCTTTACGATGGATTCGGAAGTAGCGGAGCGGTAGCTGCTCCGTCTGCTGAACGCGCCCATTAACTAAAACTAAGATGACAAATGACAAACACAGTTCACAGACCACAGGACAGTAGGTACAGCTAAAAATTTTAAAATCATATTCAAATATGCAAGGTGTTCCCACTTCTTAATTTGTTAATAATCACTTTGAAATGTAGGTGCACAAAATTTGTAAGTAGATAGGTACTAAACTAAACACAAAATCAAAATAAATAATGATAAAGTCAACTTTATTTAGATCGAATGAGCTAGCTGGCCATCGAATATGAGTATAGTGAGATCACACAATATTGCACAATATTTTAAATGACATCTTTTGTAATTTTCACACATAAAATTATCTTGGTATTGTTTAATAATAATATGTAAGCACTACGAGCCTAGTAGGCCCGTGGCTTATGTACTATTCTTTGTCACTCCATTCTCTTTCCCAGTTCGTTACGTTAAGTCTTCTCATATCTTCTTTAACTTCAGTCTTCCTCTTCGCCTTTTGCCTGCCAATGCACTAGGTAGTGCTACTCTGGGAATTCTAGATGGAATCATTCTCTGCACATGGCCCAAACATCTAAGTCTTTGAACCTTAATTACCACTAATATGTTGTCACAAGATTTTGCGCTCCCAAACTAATAAAAACTCCTGGTGATTTTTTTTGTGACCCATTTTTCAGAAGCATATATCACTATTGGCCTTATTACGGCTTTGTATGTTCTTAAATTTGCTCTTCGAGATATATTTTTCTTCTTAACAACCCATTGACAGCATATACAGCGCGGTTACGACTGGTAATACGGATTTCTGAAGAGGATGAAGACGGTTATTTGTGTCGGCATGTCATTAAATCTCACTGCAGATTATCTCTCTATTCGTGTTCTTGTCTCGTGTAGCTAAGCAGTCTGATTAGCTCTAATAGCTGTCGAAACTGGGAATTCCTAAGAAGGTTTTCAATTCCAGCAATTTTGAGCTTTCTACCTTCTTCAATGAGGTTGACTGTGCGACGCAGTCAGGTATTTTTAAAAGATATCCAAATCTTTTCGGAATCATGAGGGCCGATGGTTGGTAAAATATTTTCCAATCTTTCATTACATTGGCTTTTAAATGTTTGTTTATCTTTTATTTGTGATATCCTCTTATCTCAAACCATAGGATATTCTTTGAATTTTTTTTTCTTTAGTGTTACAAAGAGTTGTCTTTAACATTGGCTAAAAGATATTTTCCAGCGATTCCAGCATTATGTAATCGATCTGATTTCGGTGTCATTCATTAGAGAGATCCAATCCAGTACAATCTCTTGGGGCGGTGCTTACACGCAGAGTTCATTATTGCCAAATCATTGTCAACGCAGAACTGGATAAGGCAGTCTCCCCCTTGAATTACGTTCTCTTATTCCATATCTCCCCACAGCATTTCGTATATGCTCGTCAGTCATAGTAACACCGATTTTTGAGTTTAAATCGCACATGATGATGGTAATTTCTTTATTTGGAATATTTCGGAGACATGATTCTAGCTCGTTGAAAAAAGATTGTAACATCATCAGCAGTTGAGGTAGTCGCATATACCTAAACCAAATGAGTAATAGAGTGGGGTCCATTCAGTCTTACGGAAATGATAAGATCACTGATAGCCCGATAGCCCAGTATATAAGGAAAAAGATATTTTAAAGCCTAAAATCCAACACCATTGATACTTTTGTTATTGTTACCGGAAAACACATGGATTATCCCAAATTAGTTGTTTAGTGCCCCTCGTTACGGAAGATAAGTTCAGAGATCCACAGAGATATTCGTTCGTTCCAGTTTTTACTCCAGAATACTTTGTTTGCCTGGTTGTGAAAGACCACGGACATTCTATGTAGCTATGTTGTGTGCGACCTCAACACAGCTATTTCGTATAGCAGCCAACAAAATCATCATAGCCAGAATGATCGCCAACGTTCGGAACGGACAGACACCCTAGGAAGATGTTGTGTGCGGTTATTAAGTTTCTATTTTTTACCAGTAGCACATTTCGCATGTAGAGCTTGATGGGTCACGTCTACATGTCCGGTAACTAATTTCACACATTCCTCCCGGTCGAGAAGATGCGCCGGGTATCATCTGGATCGCGAAGCTCGTCATCCGAGGCCTTGCAACTAGTGCTCATAGCATGAACTTTCGTGGGTGAAATAAAGGGGTAGTTTTCCGTTGCCTATTCCATTGGTTGGGAATGTTAATAATGAACTGTGCTCAGATAGGAGTACTAGGAAAGGACAGTGATATCTCATGTTTGAAAGAAAATATAGGAGGGACCCAGAAACCTAACAGCCATTCGGGGTCGGAGGAAACAAGAGTAAGCCAAGAGAGGCTGATAGGAAAGATTAAAGACATTTTACTCAAGGCAAGTTGAAAAAGAGTAAAACGTTAAATGCGTTTCATAAGAGTATGAGTATTTATACACTTTGTGTTCCGCTCATACTTCGGGGTGTTGACTACAGACTGTATTACTCGTCCAGCATGCCATAGCATGGAGAATAGGGTGAACGTCATTTTTACAGTGCAGATATCCCAACTCCATTGATCGACCCATAATAACAGAACAGTTTAAGAAAAAATGATAAAAAAAATCAAATCTATCAATTCTCTATTTTTGATATCAGATTGATGTTCACTTATTCTAACATTTAATGGTCTTAATGTTTCACCTAAATCATAAAATACATATAAAAATACAACTCTTTGTTCTTTCTTGTTCATTGTCAGGTCTAATTTTAGATAAAATAGATCTCAATGTGTTTATTGTTTTGAATGTTGAATTTATTTCCTATCCTTTTAAGTTTCTCCGATAATCATTTTATGTATGGTATTATTATTTTCTTCATATTATTCCTTGTGTATGCTGTGGGATCTCGTTCTAAGTCATTCTGTTCCATTCGGTCAATTCTTGAAAATTCATTATTTATAAACGACAAAGGATACATTTTTTAATGAAACAGATGTTAACAAATGTTTTTCCTGTAAGAACGAATTCTCGTTAGAACAATTAATTTTGGCTCTATCGTATAAGGATTTAATGATTTCTTTTTTAATATTGATGTTGTGATTTGGTTTGTAATTTAAATATTTGTTGATGTCTTTTGGTTTTCTATATATCTGAGCATCATATCCAGTATCCTTCTTTGAGATTAAAATATTTAGGAAAGGTAGTGTGTTATTATATTCCTTTTAAATGATCAATCTTATAATCTCGTCTTTACCGTTTAAATCATTCAGCAATGTGTCCAACAACTCATACGTCATCTACATATCTCCACCATACAGGAGGTTTTAAATTTTGTTTAGAAATAATATTTGTTACAATATCTTCAAGATATATTCGCTAAGAATGGAGATAAACTAGAGTCCATTGCTAGCCCAAAATTTGGTTTAGTGTTACGATAAATATGACTCATAAAACTGTAAACATATTCCTAATTCTATTATCTTCTAAGTATTTTCTAGAAGTTCTCCGCTCCGCTAAAAACCTGTTTGGGTGACCTTCCATCCTATTCGAAAGGAGTCGCCGGGATTTCAGATTAACGGTGTTTTATATATTATAAAGAGAAAATTTTTAGTTAGTTTTTAGTCTGAATATAATGTATCGAGTATGAATTATTGTCGGGAATATAAATTGTAGTGAATGTAAATGAATTATATAATTATAGTGTAAAAATAAATGACTGTAATGTTGTATAAATAAAGACTTTAATAAACTTGTAACTATTGTAAAAGTGTAGAACCTTTTATAATAAATAAAGTTAATAAATTAGACTTATAAATATAGTTCAATAGTATTTATTATTTAGTTGAAAATAGGTATTTCAGTACATAATGTCCACAATCGAAATCTTATCTAATGGCACATTTGTAAATAAACTATTTATGCAAAAACTTACTAAATGGTCTATTTTTGGAAAGATTCAAGCGTATTCCTAAAAGAAACATAAATATGGTAAAAAGAGAAAAATCAATAATTACGTTAATGAGACCAAATGGGTCGCAGTAGAATCTGGTTACCCATATTAAAAGAGAAAATCAATAAAAAGAAAATACCACTATTAGTAAGTCGATAACATTTATGTTTTTAAATAACATACATTTAAAATCATAGTTTGGCGTTTTTATTGAGAGTAAATTAAATGTCAGATCAAATATTTACCATGTCGGGAGGTTTTTTCCTCATGATTTACTATGGAATCAGTAACAGGAGAATTTTCCTGCCATCATTGCATTTGGTTGTCTTTTAAAGACGAATCACATTCTTTAATAATAATAGTAATTACATTTAAATGCCACGAGATAGCTTAAGAGCAATATAATCATGATGATGAATAATTCAATTAATTCTATTTAACATTGGTGCCACAATTGTCAAATCTACGAAACCCAAATTTATAGCGGAAGGCAATTATATAAAAGGATAATAACCAACACGAGACAGTTTTATAGCTATTTATTTACATATTTTAACTTTTTCGTAAACAATTCTCTTAAAAACATATCAATTTCTCTTCTTTCTTCCCTTTTTCGATTTTTTGCCCTTCTGCTTATGTTTCTTCTTTTCAGCTATCAACCTGGCTTTTACAATTTGATCGGACGATTTCATTTCTGATTTTCTTTGCTTCATCTTGACTTTTTCATTATGTTTTGCCCAATGTACATGAGGGTTTCTAACAGGACCTAAAACACAGGAGTAAAAGGATGTGTAATTTGTAGTTTTAAAATTTTTATAGTTAATAATCTCACGTTTTTGAGCAGGAGAATCATCTTCGTCACCATCGTCATCACCCTGGTCTATTTTTGTTTTCTCTTTCCACTGTTCATATCGATTACTCTTATACGTAGCTGATATCCAAACTCCTGATTCGGTTTTTATTTTGCCGGCTCTAAAGTCCTACAAAAACAGTTTGTTACACTTTCCGCATATATATTTTTAATTTATAGGCAGAAATAGGTTTGCAGGTCCTGGTTCACAGATGTAGGGTATATATGTGTTTTATCGATTTCGAAAAAGCCTTTGAACGGATCACCCACGACAAACAGATAGGTGTCTTGAGAGAGGTGGGAATTAATGACCAAAAGACCTTCAAATTTATATTGACATCAAAACATACGAATTGGTCAGAATACGACGGAAGCAGTGGAAATACGACGTGGAGTGAGGCAAGGGTGTATTTTATCGCATCTACTTCTTAATGTCTAGTCCGAATTTATTTTTAAAGAAACCTTAGATGAAGATGCTGGCATTAAAATCAACGGAATTAATATTAACAATCTCAGATACGAAGACGATACGGTAATGATTGTATCCAAAGAAAAAGAGTTGCAAATACTTTTAAACAGAGTGACCAAAACATGTGTTGTATATGGGCTAAAGCTTAATACTTTTAAGGCAAAACGTATGGTTGTTAGCAAAACAGAGTTACAACTAATTAACATCAAACATCAGAGCGTATGGAACAGAGTTAGTAAGAATCCACAATATGTTATTTGGGGGGCCAATGTTAACGAAAATGGGGATATAAGCAAAGAAATAAGAATACACATTCTATAAATTAATTAATTAAAAAGCCAGAGCCGCGTTCTGTAAATTAAAGAAAATTCTCATTAATACAGATATTACATTAAACCTTAAAATCAAATTAATAAGCTGCTACATATTCCCTACATTCCTGTATGGCATGGGGAGCTGGACTCTTACAGCAACACTAATGAAAAAACTTGAGCCCTTTGAGATGTTATTTACCGACAAATATGGCCGATAAGTTGGGTTGATCAAATAACAAATGATATAGTTGTACACTGAATGAAAAAGAGCACAAAAATAACAAAAATGATAAAAATTTGAAAGTTACAATATTTCGGCCATGTAATGAGACATCCAGAGAGGTATAACTTTCTAAACCTCATAATACAGGGCAAGACAGAACGACAGAAGAAGTGGTCCAGGCCGAGGAAGAACATAGTTATTATTGCCAATATGATCGCCAAGGTTCGATAATCGGACAGGGTACCAGAAGAAGAAAGCAAACATAAAGAAGTTTATTTATCGCCCACACAAACGACCAGTTATTGACCTAGACTACTTTAGCTTAAGGATTTCTTCCAACTTCCAAGAGAATCTATAATCCATATCTAAAAATACTTACCGGTGCAGCAACCATCTTCTTCTTTTTCCTATCCCACACTTTGAGTTGTTTGCCCATCCTTATAGCTTCATTTGAATCGCCGACTAAATCTAATTGGGCGTTCATGGCTTCTTTTTGGAAATTGTTTATTGCTAAGCTGAAAAATTCATCGGATATAAAATAAAACTGTTATGAACCTACATAATCTACTGTATATTTTTAAATTGTCTGATTTTTATTTAAAAGATATCCACAAAAAACTTTAGAAGTAGTGTGTCCAATTAAGTCTGTACCATATGGAAAACTTTTTTATTTTTAGTTTTATAAAAAAGCTTTTTTATATAAAAAGTTCTTCTTATCAGTTCTGCAATCATCAAATACTAATTATTTTCAATCATATACGCAGTCTGTCAAAAAATATGAATTGTGGATATTGTTACCTATTATATAAAAAAAAATTCATACTTTTTGACAAACCGCAATGACTGAAAAAATTTAAATATCAGATGATTGCGTTCTAGGTGTTAGATGATTCAGAACTTTTTATAAAGAATGACTTTTTTTCATAAAACTATAAATAAGAAAGTTTTCCATATGGTACAGACTTGGTACCTATGGGTAGGTATCAGTAGGTAGTAACAAAAAGAAGAGGGAGATATACGAATCAATAGAAATAAAAAGAAACACCAACGCAATAAATGAAAAAAAAATACACAAAACCTAAATAAAATATATTTCAATCTGATTTAAACAATAATAATATAACATCATAAAAAGCTCTTAAAGTCATAATATATCTCCACCTTACCTTCTTCGAAAAAAATCAACGATACGCCCATATAAAAATAATTAACTAATGACAGTAAACAATGAGATACCAGATATCAACTTTTATTTGTCAGTTCGTTAATGTCTGTGTCACGTTTTACGTTTTGGTAAGTCATATGTATATATATATATATATATGTATATATAACAATAATAAATAAGAAAACACAAACATAGAACATATAAAATTAAAAATTAAAATTATTAAAGTCGAAGGTTACAGCCTCGAATCCAATATCTTGCCTTGGGAGTGAGTTGGTGGATTTCTTGAAGACTGCCAACGAACTTGGTGGCTGGACACTCGAAGACGATGTGGTTAATTGTTGTTCAACATCGCTGCATTTGTCACATCCCGGACTGGCATTTCCACCCCACTGGTTCAGAGATTTGTTACAAACTCCATGACCAACTCGTATTCTATTAAGGTTGCACCATTCACGACTAGGAAGAGAAAAGGCGTCTGGTTTAATTGTAGGGTTTTCTATGAGATTAGTGTAGTTCAACCCGGTAGTGTTGGGTTTTGTTGGCATTTTTGAACTAGGCTTGAGTGCGGCTAGTCGTCTTGTTGCTGGTGGAGCGACGTTGCTTAAAACTGGAAGCCATTGGGTTAGTGTGGGCTTTATTATTTCCGTTATGTGCCTCATTGTTTGGTTTAACTGGGTATCTATGACTTTTGTGTGATGACTGTTTAGCCAGACAGGAGCGCAATATTCTGCATACACTAAGGACAGCGCGCTCGTTCTAATGACCTCTGCATTAGACTCCCATGATGTATTTGCTAATTTCTGAATAATGTTATTGCGGGTCTTTATTTTTGCTGAAGTGTTTTCCAAATGCTGTTTAAATGTTAGCGTACGATCTAGAGTTACGCCGAGGTATTTTGGGTTCGAACTGTGCTTTAGAATGGTTCCATCGCATTCTATGTTTAGTCTGCAATTTGCCTTGTGGTTGTTAAGTTGGAAAGCTGTTACTTCAGTCTTCGATGGGTTTGGTTGTAGGTCCCATTTCTTAAAGTATCTGTTTTTAGATCTGCTTCTATGGTGGTTTCGGCGATTTTTATGTCTTCTTCTTGAGAACCCAGAGCCATGTCATCGGCATAAATAAATTGGCGCGAGGTGGTAGTTGGTACATCTGACATATAAATATTAAAAAGAAGAGGAGACATACCTGACCCTTGTGGTAAGCCGTTTTGCAGGTTTCTGAACTTACTGTTTTTCCCATTTAGGTGTACTTGGAAAAGTCTGTCACTTAGCATTTGGTTTATCAGACTACTGAACGAACGGCATGGTACCACCTGATATATTTTAAATAAATGACCCTCCTTCCACACTGTGTCGTAGGCGCACATTGGATCTATGAAAGCTGCTACTGTTTTAAGTTTCTTCTGAAATCCGTTCTCAATAAATGTTGTTAAGGAGAGGACTTGATCGCTACAGCTACTTCCCGGCATGAATCCAGCTTGTTCTTGAGGAATATTTGGCTTTGCAAGGTAAAATAATCTCGTTTGGATTATCCTCTCAAATATCTTATAGCAGTCGCTTAAAACAGCGATTAGTCTGTAGCTCTCAGGTAGTGCAGGGTCTTTCCCAGGTTTAGATATTGTGACGATCTTAATTTTTTTGAAGGATTTTGGAAACTTCTGCTTAGTCATTATTTGATTGTAAAATTCAACAAGCCACTTACTGGTATTTGGACCAATGTGTTTTATAAATTCAGGATAAATGTTGTCAACTATGCTGCCCTACTAAGCGAAAAGGGGGTATCTGTAATTTACATTGTTTTGAGTTAAGAAGGAATTTAGATTTCGTTTATTCGCATTGATGTTTTGTGTATAATATTTAAGTTTAAATCAAAAATATACATAGTTTTCTTTTGTTTTTTTATAAATATAATAAAATTAGGCCATTTAAATTTTTTTACTAAAAAAATTGTAGTTACCCCCATTATTAAGAAACCGTTATAGGTTAGATACTAAGATAAAAACACAGTATCTACATGTACACATTTATTTTTACATGATTTGGTTTAATTATCAAAGTAATTTCCACAAAATAACTTAAATACTAAATTAATTATTAATCATTATCATTATTTTGCTCAAGGTACTGAGTGGTAGGTATTTCTTTCCAAAAATTTAAACGATTTTTTGGCATGATGGCATTGTCGGCTTCTAAAAGCTTTGAAATAATATTATTTCGTCTTTCTTCTGTGATGCCTCTTGGGTTTTCTTTGGTTCCTGGAGCTGGTATTATTCCAGTCTTTGTAATTTTTGCATTCAAAAAATTTAATGTTAAATCAGGGTCACTAAAATTGTTTTTATAAATTAGTGACATTGATCCCCTGTGGGCTGTGATTTGAACAATATCCTGAATATATGGCCGCTCACTATGTGCGTTTTTAAGTTTATAAGCAGATGAAAAATCCTGCCAGTCATAGAAATCATGTAGTTCCATTTCCAAAACTATAACCCTCCCAGAATTAGCTTGTAGAACAGCTTTTTTAAAATCTGGAAAGTCGTAAACTTTCTTAGTTTTTCGTAGAGATTTTTCTACTTGATGGTGGAATGCGTCGGCACTCATAAATGTGTGACCTGGTTCGAAGTAATTTATTTCTATTACTTCAGCAGAAATATCAGTTGAGTTTATTATATAAACTAAAAACGTAAAAAACGCCCAGTTTTTATTTTGAGAGGTACAATTATCTACCCATAGAACAATTTTTTTCGCATCTCTCTGAAATATTAAGAATTTGTGATAGGTACTTATTATATCTTCTTTTTTTCGCCCTTGAATTGCCTCGTGCCAAATTGCAGCTACAGGTTTAATGTTTCTGTTTTTAGTCCCTATCGGAACGAAACTTTCGTTATAAGCAATCAATCTTTGAGTAAATATAACAGATTTAAACATGTCGCACCGGGGTAACATTATTACTTTTTCCAAATCAACGGAATATATAATTTCTCCTTCTTCTGGTTTCTTATTGGCATATTCTTTGTACAGCAGACGTGCATCTTTACTCCTTTTTATATGATTGGACCACCTCTGACACTCGGAACAATCATTTTGTAAATTTTCTTCAGAGTGTGGATGGATTTTAAAATGCTCACACATTTCGCATTCTTCGTGACCCAACGTTACAAAAGATATATTTAACTTTTGTACTATTGAGCGGTATAAATCATAAGAACAAGTTATTTTAGGATTCTTCTCTTGAAAATTGCTAAACATATCTTTGATGTTTACATCACTTGGTAAATAACGTCGCTTAGGTGCATGTTCCCTACGATAATGAGATATCGATGGGTTGAAAGCTTCTATATGTTTTTCTATTACTGTATGATCCAATTTATTATGAGGTAGACTTCCACGGTTTTTATGTGGCTTTGGTGAGATTAATGAGTTCGAAGATTTACAAAACCTCTGTAGAATTTTATCATTATTTTTGTGAAACCCTATAGTTGTAAGAAAAAAGGTTCTACAGACTGACTTACATTCTCCGTCCGCCGTTTTTAAAGAGTAGCTTAAAGTATTCGATCTTCGAGAATCTAATCCAACAGTTTTATGTTTTACGTTTGTCTGGCTAATGCTGGACAACATAAATTGATGCTGTTGTTGACGGTCTAGATTCCAGAACTGATTGTTTATATCAATTCTTCTTTCCTGATTTATTTTTGTGTTACATGTTTTCTTACAGTTATTACCACATCCATCCCTAACAGAATGTGAATCCTTTAGTTTATGCTGTTTAATTATTTTTCTTTCTCTAATCGAATATTTAAATTTTTTACGTCTTCGTTGTTCCCCTTTCTTAGTAAAGCGTGTGTCTATTTCTTTTTCATCTCTTTCTTCAATTTCTCTTCCCCCATCTTCTAAACTGGCAGGCTGAAATTCATTTTTACAATTATAGCTGGCTAATTCAGGATTATTGTCCAATACGACCTCCATTGTCATATTTGTTCCCAAATCAGGTAGTTCCAACGTATTTACTTCAGCTTCTAGAAAAGTTTCTGAATCTGAAAGCAAATTTGTAATGTTTGTTGTATCAACAGAATTTGCTGGAATTTGAATATCACTATTCTCCAATAAAACAATTGGCGCATTTTCAATAATATTTTCCCATTCCACACCACTACTAATGTATGTTGAGCTGGCCATAGCTAAGTCACACAACCTTTTTCCTCTACTTTTACTCATCCGAAATAAAAAAAAAATGTTTTACACGACTTTCTATCCATAAACGCAAAAGTTAGATTGTAATAAAATGCATTAATAAATGACAAATTATTTCGTTATTAAGTATCTTCAATTTGTAAAAACATTGCAAAGAATCAGTAACTAAATAAGTAAATTCGCAATGAAATTCCTTTTTTGTCGTGTAAAACAAATCAGTCTACACATTTTAATTTGAGGTTATGGTAGCAAAATAAACAACTTACCTCTAAATCTGTAGTAAATCATTCACTATTCAATATTTCAATGTTTACAATTGAATATTTAAATACACACTTTAATATTACTAGGTTGTATTACACCAAAAATAAACAAATAAACTAAAAGAAATACTATTTTTGTGTAAGATATGTCTAGACACGATGAATAAATGTGCTTACTATTATATAAAAGTACTAAGCGATTCTGGCATTAAGTGACGTGTACTAAGCAGTTCCAGCCGTAACTGCACAAGTTCGTGTAGATACAACCATTATTGCCTAATCAGTAGTTACCGCCAAATTGCTTAGTATATAACGTATGCTTTGTAGATACCTCTAAATATATAGCCTAAAATATAATATTTGTAAAGTAGATACGACCAATTCGCTTTAGTATTAGATAGAATAAGGTGTAATTATTGACTAGACATTAATATCTCATTTTTGGAAAAAAGTGTAGATACCCCCTTTTCGCTTAGTAGGGCAGTATGGGTATAGCACGATGCTACTGGAACCGCCGGACTAGTGATAGATGTCTGTGCAGGATATCATATTATTATTTTTTAAGTACTAAACTTGAAGCCACATATTTTATTTTATTGAGAATACAAATACTGTAGATTCCGTGACGCTTGAGTAGTAAGGTTCCAAATTTACCTTGAATTTGTGGATATTATTGTGGATAATTTTGAAAATTGTATCATATTAGTTGTATCATGGTTATGACCAATGGTGTCATGATTTTTATTTTTAGAATAGGCTGTAAAATTTAGATTTTATTACACAGAAACGAGAAATTTCAGACTATTGCCACCTAATATTTTGAGACTTGAGTTGTTTGGAAAAGTATTTAGTATTTACTTAAACAAATATAATATTTGTTTACGTATATACTAAAAACTTTCATATTTTTAAATTCCTACATTGAAACTGGCTAGTTCATATGCATATCAAGTTCTGAGAACGTCACTTGTCTAAATCACCACACGTTTTCGGGAAAACATTAATTTTAATACTGTAACTCACGCATTTTGTACGCAATGTATGCATCCCCTTATTGAGAGATACGAGTGATGGCAACTCTCTTACAAAGTGATATCAATTTATGAGTTATGCTAATTTATTTTCTTATTTTTAATCATATATATTTTATTTCATTATTTATTGCTTCAATTAATTAACCAGCTATTTTCAATACTTCATACTTAAACAATACTAAAAATTAAAGAAGATTTTATATGGATAAATAATTACAACCGAAATGTCTTACCCTTCTTCCGTGTGTTGATCCGAGGGGGCATAAGGAATATAATTTTCATCTTTGACCTTGAGCTTTTTATTATTTCTATATAAACCGTCCATCTTTCTCTTTTTCGGCATAACAACCGTTGAAAACGCGTCTGTAATGTCTTCGTTAGTGCTTCTTTGTAAAGTCTCTTCATTGTTGTTCGCCTCCAATAGTTCAGCTTGCTTTTTATTGGCTATTGATTGTTGGTGTACCGAAATTTTATTTTCGTGGAAAGCGCGTTTTTTCTTCATGGTAACGTACTCTTCGGATTTGTTTTTACCGCAAATTTCAAATATTGTCTAAAACAATTCATTAAATATGTTAATAGTCGTATAGGATAATTAATTGTAACGAAATACAATTTAAACACAATTGTATGCCAATAAATTTCGAAATAGCATCAAGGCAAAAAGATATCTATATATTTTTTTAATTTAAATTAAATTAAAATAGAAAACCAACTTATACTTGACAAAATATTTATATGAATGTTTTACTATCTCTTAAAACTCTAGTGATATTTATTAATATGTATATTTTATATAAGTAATAAAAAATAAAAAAATAAATTATAACAAATAGTAATAACGTACAGTTCAATGTAGGTCAGAACACATTACATTATAGTAATGTTGGTTGCTTAAATTAAAATTCTTCCAGGCATAATTTATTTTTGTGATTTTGCATTGCTCTATTGAAATATTGTCACTTCCCCAAGTTTTAGTCATTATTTATTGTTTCGTATCCAATCTTATCCTAAACCTAATACTAGTATTGTTCTGTAGTAAATAGTCCTTTTTTATAATTACTTTTCCTCACTTTCTAATGGCATTTAACATAAATTATTGTTTTTGAATACCATTTTTTTTTACATCAGAATAATTCTAAACGTACTTTAAAGAACTATTCTAAGCAGTTGGGTATACCACAGAATAATAAACAATCAGACTGCCTGCCCACTCTGCTTGTCAAGATAAGTACGCGCATCTCGTTCGTGCAGACGGAATCAGTCATGTTTTAAACGGAACCAGTGCTGTTAAGTGAAATTTTATCTGTTATGCATAGAAAAATTAACCCGATTGAATTTATTTACAGCAACCAGAGACATAATAATATGCACTATTTTATTCGTATTTTTAGTTCAAGAATAGATTAAATTATTTTAAATTTACAAAATTAATTATCTCTCTACGTTTCCGTTTAAAATATGGCGTTCGCGTGCTGACAAACTTCAAAGGTGGCATCTGATAGTGGGAATTCTGATTGTTATTTATTCTGTGGGTGTACTGTGACGTCATAGAAACTTCATTTCAACAAGAAAAATGTTTATTTTTACAAATTTATACTTTACCCCATGAGGTCTGTACTGCTTCATTTTATCTAAAAGATTTTCCCTCTCATTCTCATCAACTTCATCGACATTCTTAAAAATTGGATGTACCCAGCATGAAGATAGTGGCAATTCTTTGATCCTTCTGTTACTGTCTGCTGAAGCATTGGGCCTAGATCTGATATATTGTTGGTAACCATTCTCTGACACTTTTTTTGTTGATATCTAACAAAAGAATCATCATCAATTATTACCTTTTTTTATTAAGAATTTAAATTACTTTATTCTTACCAATTCAACATTGTTATTATGCATGGACAGTATGTGGCTATGTTGTTCTTCAATAAGTGTCTGAGGAATTCTTCCCACAGTTCCGTTCTTGTTTGAAGCGTTTGTTAGGGAAAGGGGACGTCCTAAAAATAAGTGTAAATCCAGAAGATAAGCAAATTCGTCTGGAGAAACCAATGAATATGCTGTACCACTTCTCCCTGCTCTAGCACACCGACCTGGAAGAATAAATAAATCTAAGATATTATGCACTAGAAGAAATGTACAATTTCAGTTAAAAATCCTATTTGTTCTTCTCCTCTGTTCTGTATGTCAACATGTAATTTTTCTTTCATAACACAAAACTTAAAGTTTTAAAAACTATCAAGAAAGAACTATATTGAATTTGGGTTCAAGAGGTTTTTTTTTTCTTTCTTATGATTGTTTTTCTTGAAAAGCATATTTTGCTATTTTGCTACATAAGTTTCTCCTGGTGTAAGATCTCTTCTGAATATGGATCTTCTTCTTCGTTTTGTCATCTTATTATGCTTTTTCTTTTTTTTTAAGAAAAGTCTTTAAGGTGGTATACAGTTTAGGTAAAAGTAACAATCATATTTCCTTTTGGTCTCCCCTCCACATTCCCCATGCACGCCCATTAGTGAACGCCAGACCATAATCAGTGACGCAGTTATATTGCCATTCAAACCTGGATGATGATATTAAAAATGAAACACTTTGTGTCCATTTGTCTGTCCTCTTCAATGGTAAACTGCATTCGAGACAGGCCGAACGCTATGCTATGTATTTCTTTTTGGAGGTAACCGCGTAAGTGTGAAGATAAAAATTTGATATGTCGACTGTTTATACAACAGAAGAACAGGTAAAAATAATAAAATGGCACTTTTGGGGCAATTCAGTAGAAGACACTATTAATTTATTTATTATGTCTTTTGAAAATGGGCCAATAAATATAGAAAAAACTATATTGGCAATTATTCATTAATTTGAAAAGTTTGACTGTACTAATGGCAGATGTAAAAAATGCTTCTTATCGGATCAACCTCGCGAAAAGACAATTTGTCAAGAACGAGAAATTGAGAAATTCATGTTTGTGCATTGACTGAAGTGACATCGTGTTCAAGTAAATAAATTTCTGTTGAAGTTGATTTGAATGCAAAAACAGTGAGGAATATGTTGAAAAGAAACAACTACCATTCTTATAAAGTGCAGACAATATATAAGTGCTTCATATAAAGTGCAGACAATATATAAGTGCTTGATATAAAGTGCAGACAATATATAAGTGCTTGATATAAAGGGCGGACCTAATATAACTCTCTCTTTTTAAACAGGTGTTTCTCACTCCATCTCATGTAAGGTCCATACTTACTTACTCCGTGGCGTTACAACCCTTCGTGGGTTTTAGCTGACTCGACAACATGCCTCCACTGTTTTCTGTCTTGAGCAACCTGCATCCAATTCTCCACGCCCATAGTGCTTAGGTCTCCTGCTATATTATCTCGCCACCGGAGACGAGGGCGTCCGCGTGGTCTCCTTCCAGTTGGGACTTCCTGCCACACCAGTCTTACCGTTCGTTCGTCAGAATGTCTTCTGAGGTGTCCTGCCCATTGGAGTCTTCTGGACTTTATTTCTTTTATGATGTTGGCGTCTGGGTAAAGTTCTTCAAGCTCTTTATTAGTTCTTATCCTATATTGTCCTGATGTTTCATCAAGCACCGGACCAAAGATCTTCCTTAGGATTTTTCTTTCCCAAACACGTAGTCTCTCTTCATTTGCCTTTGTCATCGTCCACGTTTCGCTTCCATACATCACAACGGGTCGTATGATTGTTTTATAGACCTGTATCTTCGTACGTCGTGTTAGTTGTTTTGATTTTATAAGGTTTTGGAGGGCAAAAATACATCTGTTGCCGGCCTGAATCCTGTTGTTTATTTCTTGTGATCCGTTATTGTCTTCAGTTATTGTTGTTCCAAGATACTTGAATTCCCTAACGCGCTCAAAGTTAAAGTCATCGATGGTAATGTTCTGACCGATTCTGTCTCTGCTTTGGTTATTGCGGCTCATATACATATATTTCGTCTTGTTTTCGTTGATTTGGAGCCCCATCTTCTCTGCTTCCTTCTCAAACCTTACGAAAGTCTCTTTCATCCTTAATCGCGTGTTTCCTATTAGATCTATATCATCTGCAAATGCCAGTAGTAAGTTTGGTCCTTCTCGATGAAATACTGTATTCGGTTTTTCGATTCTTGCACTTCTGATTATGTGCTCCAGAGCTAAGTTGAAGAGTTGTGGTGAAAGTGCATCTCCCTGTTTTAGTCCATTGTTTATTTCAAATGTCTCCGAGTATTGTTGTCCAACTCTCACCTTACATCGTAACCGTTCCATACACATCCGTATCAACCGGACTAGTTTTTTTGGAAAGCCAAGTTCCTGCATCGCTGTCCACAGTCTGTCCCTACATACTCTGTATGGACATAGGTCCATACTGACGATAGATTATTATTACCTAAGCTGTATATATGCTCCTCTTGGTGTAAGAAACAATCAAATTAAATTTAGGATTAACTGTTTTTCTTACGCCTTCCTTTTTCTTGACAGAAAAATGCTGGAGTCTTTAATCTTGGTTTCCTGATTGCTACTGAATTTGGAGTCAATGTATTCTTGTTTGCATGGTTTTAACATGATTCACAAGGTATTTTATATATGCAGTTCTTTGATCTTTCTTGTAATTTTTAGGTTTGGTTTTGTATAAAATAGATCTCAATTAATTGATTGTTTTAAATGTTGTTATATTGTATGTATGTCCTATCCTTTTTAATTTTTCTGATAAGTCTTCTATGTACAGCATTCTTGTTCTCCTCAAGTCCTTTTTCCCATAATATTTACAGTAGCTATAAATTCACTAAAGTTTTGTTAAAAATTTGAAGTTTTCTTATTCATAAACAATGTTTATCTATCTATTTTATGGATTCATTTTGTTAATGCTTAACTTCGTCTGTTTATCCTATCCTTGGAAAGGCCCCCATTGCTAGTAATGTAATGTGTGTAAAAGAAATATCTTCTGTGAACACAATTTTTTAAAATGATACACTAGGTAGAGCAAGTAGTTTTACGAAATATTTTTGAATTCAGCAGAAAAAAGTTGATCATGGATATTAAGTTTTAAGATATATTTTTCTTACCTACACGATGTACAAATAACTTGGATTTGGCAGGAAAATTGTAATTTATGACATTATCCAATTGTGGTATGTCAATGCCTCTAGCTGCCACATCAGTTACTATAAGTACTTTGACTTTACCTAAACCGAATTTGGCTGCATGGATTTTCCTTGCTGATGGGTCCAAATTTGAATATATGTATGTATTACTTACACCCATTTTGTCTAATACCTGCAAAAAAATCACAATTAATAAATATCTTTAAGTGTTTATTGATTACTTTTATTAGTCACATTAATTCAATTCAATAAATGTGGAAAAATTCATATCTTATTTATTGTTTAAAACTTATTTTACACCTTTAGACACATTATAAAAGGTACAGAGTAAAATGGAATTTAAAAGACCAATTAAAACAATAAAAATTTAATAGTTACGATACTGAGAAAAAATAATAAAAGGTAATACAGATGTTGGAGAAAGGATGGTAGAAAAATAGGCGCAGCAAACAGGCAACAGTTGGCAATGGATAGGACTGCCTGGCGTAATAGACTTGGGAAGGTCGAGGCTCTTTCATAGGGCTGTAGCACCATTGATGATGATGAATACAGATGTTGTGCTATTTTTATACATACCCAGTATAAGTATAAATAAAACATTATTAAGAATTAAAAAACAAGCAAAAAACAAAAATTCAAATATACATGTGAAATTAAGATTCATAATCCTACTATTAGTGACAACAATGACACTAGAATGACAAATTGGTTTTTTTATGTTAACCCTTAAAGCGGACTGGACTGCTTAAGTTGTTGACTTGAGATGCATAGTGGGCTGACTGACAAATTCCGATTCTGTTTTATAGCACCTATATTTTATTTTTATTCTTAAACTTTCTTTTACTCAAAACGGTTCCAGAGATATAGAGTAGTTTTCTATAAACTGACTGAACACAGGTCTGTGTGGGGAATCTGGAATAGATTACACACTATGACTAGATTTCTACTATGACAAATAAGAATTATATCTTGATCAAGGAACATAATTTACTTTAAAATTATAAACATGCCACTGTATGTACATATGTTGGTTTTATAAAAGATGGGTTTATTTTTTAAACCCCTCTTTCTTTCTCATCTTTAAGTGGATGTCATTGAGTTAAATTCTATGGAGAAGCTATGAGCATATTAACATGTGTATTAAAAAGGCCTAGGTAGGTGTGGCTAACGATAATACCAATATGGCGGTGGGATCATGGCCGGACTCAATAATATTAAAACTACTATAAAAATATGACTAGTTATTTAGAAGATTTAATCATAATCTAAAAAAGTGCAATACATTTTTAATAAACTATGATTTATTTATCCCGCGGTAAACACTAAAAACACGATATATTATACATAACAATAAATTAATACAGTCAAATACTATTAATTTATTCTCTGAAGTACGGGCCATTACTTTCTTTACATATTTGTATACTAACCTGTACAACGTTATTCCAGAAGATTTTTTATTAGCATTGCTTTTGCTACTGGAACTATGTTGAGAACAAGAAACCATTATTATGCACTATCACAATATATTATTACAGTTTCTATAAAAGTATTATAAAACTAAAAATATTTGAAAAACAACAAACGTAAATAAACTTTACGATCTGTCAAAAGTGTCAAAACAATATTAACAATAGTATTAACAATATGGCCGAAGTGAGGTCGTTTTTGGTCACGTGATGCCCTCTCCATAGAATCTAACTCGATGGTGGATGTCAATTGCTTTTTAAGGATTTAAAAACCTTTTTCTATTTTATAATTAGCTACTTAGTTTCATCCTATGGTTACTGAAATAAATATGTGTTTCTTATTGTTTTTGAAGTGATTATATAATTTTTCTAATAGGTTGCAAATTTAATTAGTGATTTAGTTTTATTTATGTAATTATAAAAACATTTTTACAAGTGTTCTATTTCTGATAAATTGGACTTTATACACTGGATCTAAATATTTTTACTACTATACTATTAAATTGGTAAATATTTTGTCATAGAACAAATCCATACCTTGGAGGTAAAGGACACTATGTCCATTTTCTTACTTTTTAAGAAGAGCAGTTTTAACATTTTTTAAATTTGTAATCAGTAAATACTCAAATGTTTTAATATTATATATTATGTTATATATTATATAATATATTAATATTATATAATATATTAATTTTGGTTAAATATCAGAAACATTTGAGTATTTACTGATTACAAATTTAAAAAATGTTAAAACTGCTCTCCTTAAAAAAGTAAGAAAATGGACATAGTGTCCTTTACCTCCAAGGTACGGAAATGTAACAATTATTTTTTATTCTTTCTATTACCCTATATGCAAACATATTACCCGCGTATGAACAATGAAAACAAACAAATGAAAAGGGTTATATACCTTTCTCAATGATCAATTATAAGAATTTAATTCATATACAGAAAAAAATTCTCCCCACCACAAGATACATCTCTGTAAATATTTTTGTTGACTTAAGAGGTTAAATAAACAAAGAAATGCACTGGGCTGGGAGATATGATTAAAAATAATATAAATAAATACAGGGAATATTTACATAGCAGAATGACAAGTATAATGTAAACAATAATTAAAAAGAAGAAAAATGAATAAGTCAGTAGGACTATTTACCTTACTCTATACTACTACTTACCATATGCAAATATTCCACATGATGTTTGGTGGCAACAAAAACCACTGTTTGCTGATTAGAATCTATATGACTCTTTAAAAGTACTAATAAAGCTGATAGTTTCTCCTCTGGTCTAACAGTGAAATACCAGCATACCAATTCTTCAGGTAATTTGGACTCAATGTCTAGTCTAAAATATTTAATACTTATAAAAACTAACCAAAAATCACATTTGAGAAGTACAAACCTTATTAAAACTGGATCATTTAAACCTGCTTTAGCAAATTCTACTAAAACCTTAGGTAGTGTAGCTGAAAATAGGACTGTCTGTCTTGTATCTGGTAATCTTCTAATGATTTCAGTCAACTGTTCTCCCAAGCCCATTTCAAATAATCTATCTGCCTCATCAAACACTACATATTCCACATTATTCAATTTTAAATCCATTTCTATGCATACATGCAGAAATCTGCCTGGAGTAGCAACAATAATATCTGGATTTCCATGTATTACTGAGAACTGATCATCCATTGAGTCTCCACCTAATATTACTGCTGCTTTTAGATCTGTAAAACGACCCAGCTCTTTTATGAATTTTAAAGTCTAAAAAATAAAAAATTAAGCAATGTTTAATTTTATTTTTATAAGATTACTACTATAACATATAAAATATTTAAATGTTCTTTATTTACCTGTAATGCCAGTTCTCTTGTGGGGGACATTACAAGAGCTCTAGCTCCTGTTTTAGCAGAACGTATTTTCAGTTTTTCAAATAGTGGTATTAAAAAAGCAGCAGTTTTACCACTACCTGTTCTGGCCATGGCTACAACATCTTTGCCTTCCATAATTACAGGAATAGTCTAAAAATCGAAACACATTAATACTGATACAAAGAATTCATGTGTATTACATGTTACTTTTCTTTGAATAGGTGTGGGTTGTTTGTAACCCCTTTTTGTAATCCCTTTAAGAACATTGTAATTTAAATGCATAGACTGGAATCCTCCACCTTTTTGGTTTTTCTTCTTTTTGGCCGTATCATCCTTGATGTTAGTTTCCTTTATATTATTTGGATCTGAGAACCCCGGAATGTCTGCCATTACTACGAAATGTACTAAAACAAACGAATTCAACAAAGTTAAAGCAAAGTATTTAGGTTTAGAATTTATTGTTTATAAACTATTTGTATTAATATGTACATTGTATATCCAATCTTTAATACACTTCGTGTTTAGGTTAGATTTACCTGTACGTACAACTATAACCTCTAAATTTGAAAATAAGGATTGGACAGCATGGACATGCTAAATAACATCTATTTTTTTTTTTTTGAAAAAACAAAAATATGGTATTTTAAATATAAATTTAAGGATTTTATTATTTTTTTTAATTAATGGACGTAAAAAATAGATATTCATTTACTTATTTTTAATTGTAGTGGCTAATAATTATATAGAAGCAGACAACGATTCTGACAGTTACTGCATTAAAAAAGAAGTGCATGTGTGATGTCAATGTCAATACATTTTCTATTTTCTTAGGTGTACTTCGGTGACGTGTAGTGAAATATAGAATTAAGAAATATAGTCAAAATGGGCAAAAGTATACCATATTTCTCAATAGCAATATTTTTTATTCTCTTCGAAATCTCTTCGGCGTTGTATTTTCATATTGGAGAAACTGAACGGAAATGTTTTATAGAAGAAATTCCAGATGAGACTAATGTTATAGGTAAGGTAAAAATACTCTACTGCATTGGATAATTTTCCAGTGCAATATTTAAAATTGTTTTTGATTTACCTTAAATTGTTGCTTAGCTATTTAAGTTTAATTGAAGATCTTTTAGGCAGTTGTAGTTGTAAGGATGTGATTATTTAGCCTAAATATTTATATTTTTTTGAATATGAATTAGTAAAGCATATGTCCAACAAATATAATGTTTGTTAATTGTTTTTAGTAAATTACAAAGTAGAACTTTATGATCCAAGAAGTGGAGGTTTTATGCCTTCTTCTACTGGTATTGGTATGCATGTGGAAGTTAGAGATCCTGATGATAAAATCATATTATCAAGAGTATACAGTGCAGAGGGTAAAATATCATTTACTTCCCATTTACCTGGTGAGCATGTCATTTGTATGTTCTCTAACAGCACAGCTTGGTTTAGTGGATCTCAACTAAGAGTTCACTTGGATATACAAGTTGGTGAACATGCAATTAATTACGGAGAAATTGTGCAAAGGGAAAAACTTTCTGAATTACAATTAAGGGTCAGACAGTTGATTGATCAAGTAGAACAGATCACGAAGGAACAAAATTACCAAAGGGTAAGGAATTTCACTCATTAAAGCCCATTTAACCATAGTAAATTTATCGTCACTACCATTTCCAACTATCGAATGTGAAAAGTAGTACTTTTCAGGAGAGAAAGATAACTCTTTTTTAGAGAATACTAAATCAGCAACTTGACAAATGGAAAAATTTGTATGTTTTTTATATTTTCAATGTTTGACCCTTGTTAGGTTGATAAAAAAACTAAACTGCTTACCGTTTTTGTCTTTCCAAAAAATCACATTCGTTACTTTGCTTTTTGTGTTAATCAATGATTTGATTTGGTTCAATGTTTCAAAATTGCGAATGTGGCATTTTTGACAGATCATATTGGTATAATTTTAACACATTCATTTGGTGCAATGTTTCAAAATTGCGAATATGGCATTTTCAACAGTTCATATTGGTCTAATTTTAACACATTCATAATTGAAGAGGAGGAAAATTAAAATAATTTTAATGTTCCTATAAAGTTTATTACAAATCATATAATTAAAAATTGAAGTTATAGGATAAAATGGGAAATTATGTATGAAAGTATGTATTATTAGAAAATTAATGTAATTAGAAACTTAAAAAACATAAAAGTTTTTTGTCATAGTCATGACCCTCAGTTGTTGTAAAATAATGGTAAATTAAAAGATTAAAATTTTGAATTAAATGTTAATATGTCTTTAGGTTCTGGAAGACAATCTCTGGCAGTACTAGATGTTGGCAAAGATTGGTAATATTGGTGTTATGACCTAAGTACTAAGTTTTGTTCACATAGTGACAAAAGTTTTCTTTCTTCACATCCGTGATTGGGAGCCTTTCTTCATATGCTTTAGCTGGGTTTATACTATTTTGTTTGCCTGTTTTTTGTTTAGTTTTAAGAGATAAATAGTTTCCATCCATGCTAGTCTTCATGAAAAGTTTGTCCCTTTCATTTTTCTGATACTGTTACCATATACCATAACTACATTTAAAATTAGTATTTTCATTACTTGTTTGCTCTTCATCTTTTGATTAAATTTCTTTTTCATATTGTTTTTGCTTGTTCTTGGTTGTATTTTATTTTCTAGTGCAAATGTCACCCTTTTTTGGTAAAAATCTAAGAAGTTGTCATGAAGTAGGTATGTCACTTCAAACGGATATGGCTTAGTGTGTGCAAGTCTTATGATTTGTGCCATCCTTCAAGGGTGTATACAGGAGAATTTTTTGACTTGAATTGTGAATTGTTTTTAAATTTGGGTGACAATTAATAACATATTGACATATGGCAGCAAAGGCAAAGTTTTTCTGTTGTCCACTCCAATTGTCGGACATCATTTTGACATGTTCAATATCAGGGTAAGACATGATGTATTTAAATATAAATGTAGCAATGTCAGTACTACCGCGTTTTAGTGAATGGTCAAATTATAAATGGCAAGTTTTCTCACATAAAAAAGGTCATGTAGCTTGTTTAGGCATTGACAAAACAGATTGCAGATCGAAATCAAATACTAATATTTTCCTATTCTCCAAAGCCGACTGTTTATCTTCATCTCTTTTTTTCTTGCTGCATCTTTTCTTTCGAGGTGTTTGTAATAGGCTTCGCAGGTTAAAACCTTTTCGTCATCTGGACTACCATGATAAATGATACAAACTTAGCAAAAGTCTTTTTTCGTCTGGTGAAATTTCACAAATGTGACACATTCGTTATTTTGCGTTGTACAAATATGCCTTTAGTTATATTTATACAAAACGAAAGTATAGAATATTCCATTTTTGTCAGTTTGCAGTATATTCGATATTTTGACCAAAACAAAATGTTCATATTTGATAGTTTAATCAAGACATTTCCCGCGTTTTTTATCAAGCTACAATTTCGATGTTCTGCTACAAGGTGTATCACGTCTAATGCAAGGACAAGGTATTGAATCTGATAAACCCGATTTTTCACATTTGATAGTTGGAAATGGTAAGGACGAAATAAATTACTATATGTTTTTTTTTATAATATATTAATGGTATTTTTTTTTGTAATTAGTACCGTGAGGAGAGATTCAGACACACTAGTGAAAGTACAAACTCAAGAGTTCTTTGGTGGTCCATCACCCAAACTGCTGTGCTTCTGATTATGGGAACCTGGCAAATGAGACACTTGAAAACCTTCTTCGAAGCCAAGAAACTTGTTTAAATACTTAATTTCTTTGTTATAATTTTATTTAAATAAATTTTTTATACAAATTTGTTTTATTATAGTAACAATGAAAATACAAAATAGTAGGGTGCCGGCCCATTTATTAGCCACGCTAATTTGATATATATTTTTATAAAACAAACTTATATATTCCTTCTAACCTTTTAATTATATCATATTAGTGTGTAATGTTTAATAATTTTTATTAGAACTCTGGATTATAATGAAATAGTGGTTAATATTCACTAAAATAATAAATATTGCTCATATAACCCGTTTTATTTATTATGATGTTTTGCATTGAAATTTGACTGCGAGGTTGCGAATTTTTGTCGTAGGTTTGTTTCAGTTTTAAACAATTGCAATGATATGTAATTAAACAAATCAAAATATCTCTGGATGAAATTTATAAATTTATTTTCAAATCGTTTCATTTATGTTTTGCTTTTATTCCTGAAAAATATTGGATTAATAATTAAAGAACAATTTAAATATAAAGTTAGACAATGTCAAGGTCTATGTGTAGTGAGACAAAAAATTGATATAAATTAAACCATGGTTGTCGGTGCAGTTAATGCAAAAAAATGTATTCCATATGTACAGGTACATTTTTTGAAGGATTGAGAGTAACAGTCAGAACTCGATTCTATGTAATGTGGTTTTGGACAGGTCAGATGCCAGTTAAAAGTGCCGCAGAATTAATAAATTTGGAAAAACAGGTTAGGTTTGGGTTACGTTAGGTTGGGTACAAAAAATTAGATTTATATCATAAGTAACGGTGGTAGGTTTTAGTCAGAATGCGGTTAATCCGGCACTACCAAGACACCCCTAAAGCGTCGGGGTGTCTTGCTCCGTGGCTGCTCTTCAAGCAACCAACAAAAAGATTTATCCCAACGTCTTATCAGCTATATGTCCAATACACATACCTTTTTAGGCTATTACTTGAATTTAGAAATTAGGCACATATATATATATATATATATATATATATATATATATATATATATATATATATATATATATATATATAGTCCCAAGATTCCTAAGAGGAACATAGGGCTTCCACAAAGTGTCTCCAGCGAACTCTATTTCTGGCTAGTGCTTTGATTTCAAGCCAGGATTTTCCCATTTTTCTCCCTTCGTCCAGTACTGTCCTTCTCCAAGTTCCCTTAGGTCTGCATACTTTCCGTCGGCCTTGGGGATTCCAATCCAGCGCTGTCCTGGCAATGTCATTTGGCGGTCTACGGAGTGTGTGGCCCAGCCATCTCCATTTTCTTCGCCTTATTTGCTTTATGACATTTTCTTGGTTGCTTTGGTTCCATAAATTTTCATTGGAGATTCGGTTAGGCCAAAATGTACGAAGGATTTTTCGTAACGCTCTATTGATGAAAACTTGTAATTGGTGTACTATGGGTGCTGATATCTTCCACGTTTCGCAGCCATACAGTAATACAGCTTTTACATTTGTGTTGAAGATTTTTAATTTCTATGCTAGGAGGCATATATCATCAGCGTAATCTAGGTCTTCCAGTCTGTTTGTTAATCCCCAGTAAATTCCTCTATTAGAGTTTACCTTTGTTAGTACGGAGTCCAGTACAATGTTACATAGTATGGGGGATAAAACACAGCCCTGCTTTACTCCGTTTAGCATAGCTATTGGGTCAGATGTTATGCCGTTGTGTAGGATTTTGCTTTCTGTGTCACTATAGAGTTTCTCTCGTAATCCACTCTTTCTTTACGTCTTTCTTTAGGCCCAGCACGTTTTCACTTGTTTCCACAAGGGCTTTGCTAATCGTTTCCCAATTTTTGTCCTGTCTTTCGTCGATTTTGGATTTGGATTTTGGTATACTATTTCAAATGCAGTCCAAACAGACATATATTAAATTGTATAATCCGTATATATATATATATATATATATATATATATATATATATATATATATATATATATAGCAAAACTGGTAAGATTATCGACCGAAACGTAAAAACAATTTATTGTGTTGGAATATCGGGTATGCGGTCTGTTATTATTAAAAAAAACTCTTTTTTCTTTTAATTCTCTATATTTCGCTGATTTTTTGTCAGCTTCATCAGGAGACAAAGATTTAGAGTCGAAAGTATTTAAACAAGTTGTTGAACATAACAGTACTGTTTTGAACAAATTATGTTCAACAACTTGTTTAAATACTTTCGACTCTAAATCTTTGTCTCCTGATGAAGCTGACAAAAAATCAGCGAAATATAGAGAATTAAAAGAAAAAAGAGTTTTTTTTAATAATAACAGACCGCATACCCGATATTCCAACACAATAAATTATATATATATATATATATATAATATATATATATATATATATATATATATATATGTATATATATATATATATATATATTATATATATATATATATATATATATATATATATATATATATATATATATAGAGTGTGTATAACGACGCTAAGAATACAATTCTTTGGAGGGTAACTTTCGGGAAAGCGTCAAAACAAGGATCAGCTAGAGATGGTATAAGCCAGTTTGGTGTAGAACTTTATTCTAAATGTGAAATTTTCGGTGATATGTTTTCACCTTCATCAGCACATTGAAAATGTTCAGTTGGTCCTAGTGGTAAAGAACACTGTCACAAACATGTTAAAAATATTAAAAAATACATATAAAATTTTGAATAAAAACATTACAACACGACAGGGTAGTTTTTTAAATACAAACACAACAAAAAGTCTAAAATTTTACCTAAATTTTACCTTGGTAAAATTTTAGACTTTTTGTTGTGTTTGTATTTAAAAAACTACCCTGTTGTGTTGTAATGTTTTTATTCAAAATTTTATATGTATTTTTTAATATTTTTAACATGTTTGTGACAGTGTTCTTTACCACTAGGACCAACTGAACATTTTCAATGTGCTGATGAAGGTGAAAACATATCACCGAAAATTTCACATTTAGAATAAAGTTCTACACCAAACTGGCTTATACCATCTCTAGCTGATCCTTGTTTTGACGCTTTCCCGAAAGTTACCCTCCAAAGAATTATATATATATATATATATATATATATATATATTATATATATATATATATATATATATATATATATATATATATATATATATATATATATATATATATAATACAGATTGAACGAATTTAAAACGGATTATACAATTTAATATATGTCTGTTTGAACTGCATTTGAAATAGTATACCAATATAAAACTTGGACAAAAATAAATCCATACCCGGTGATAGACATTATATAAAATATCGTTCAACTATCTGTGTATATAGTGTCGCCCGAAGTCAATGTTGCCAATCGCCGTGTAATAATCCGATTTGCGGATCTTTTTGAGAGTTATATCTTCTTTGTATCCTTAAATAAATCGGATATTTGTCTATATTTATCATTGTATTTACCAATCTACTACAACAGACTAATAACAAAAATAAACTTAATGGTTTGTAGTTATTTCCTTTCTTTCCTGTAAATATTTTATGGTTAACACCTTATTTGACAAACATCTAGAAGAATGTTAACACCGCTCAAAATATCCATCTGACTGCTTGGAATTTAGATAAACCAAAGAGGGGCTTGCCTAAAGCCGGCCACTCACGATACAGCGGCGTTGTTCAACTTCGTCGAATTGACAAGGATTTTGGTCGTGTGTGATTGATCGTGATTTTACAATTTGTCGATACTGCAAAAATACATTTTTAACTACACACTTGCTTTGATCATATTATAGAAAATCGACATTGCATGATTTAGCGAGAATTTTTTTAATTATATAAAAAACAAAAATGCTTATAGCGAATAAAACGTATCACGATAGAAACGCCCGAAAACAGGCAATTGACATTCTAGTTTTAAAGTTCCAAGAAGTAAACAAAGATGCGAATGAAGAGTATGTAAGAAAAAAAATTAACAATTTTAGAACATCCTATAAAAGAGAATTAAAATTAGCATTGCAGTCCAGTGAATCGGGTGCAGGGGCAGACGAGATTTATTTTGCACCAGAATCTACGTTTTATTTTAGGTTTCTTTTTACGCTTAGTTATACACAAAGTTAAGAGACGCTAAAATGATTGTTTGATTTAACATGGTCGAGAACCGAACAAATACTGCGGCGCAGTATGGTGTGTGGGCGCACCAGATATACCAACAAATTGAACAACGCTGCTATCCTATTATGTCGAACGACACCACTGTACCGTGAGTGGCCGGCTTTAGGAAGCGATAAGTGGTTTGACAGCATAATAAAATCCTAGATTTATGTGTAGCTTTCAATTTTTATACGGGATGGGAGTTTTGACTTGTTCTGGAATGAGTTCATAATCCAGAAGCCCGCTGAAGTATTGGATTTTTATAATATAATTATTTGACAACCTTTTGTTGGCCAACCACCTAGAGCGGAGTTGAGCCGAAACACATATATTTCATATGTTCCGAATTTATCTTGTTCAATCTGTATATATACAGATTGAACCAAATTAAAACGGAACATACAATTTAATACATGTGTGTTTGAACTGCATTTAAAATAGTGGACCAATATAAAACTTGGACAAAAATAAATCCATACCTGGGTATAGACATTGTATAAAATATCGTTTAACTATCTGTCTCGCAACAAAGTTGTTTGCGTAAGACGGGTTTGTCTAAGGAGGCGATAATAGTTCAGGAATTGAAGCTCGAAAAAAGTTAAAACCTCGCAATTTTTTCGTCCTGCATGTATCCAGTTGAAATTTTAGCAGAAGGTAGGTAATAGCCCAAGGATCAAAATTTAAATCGAACCGAAGTGCGTTGAAGGGTTTTAGGGGTGAAAACTACCCCTAATTGTCAAAAATTATAAAATAACGTACTTATTAAACCTGAATATGGGTAAGATTTGGTTTGAATTAATTAAATAATGATATTTTATACTTTTGAATAGAGTTCCATCATATTTCAACCCTTAAAAAGCAACCCTTGTTAGAGATTAATGTAAAAAATTACTAATTCTAAAAAAATGATTTCGCCTTGGATCGATTTGGATAAAAATTTGGATTTAAGCTCAATTCACCCGCTGCTTTATAGTTTATGTCATGTCGACGAACCCTGATTGTTCTTAGGGGTGAAAACTACCCCTAATTGTCAAAAATTATAAAATAACATATTAAACCTGAATATGGGTAAAATTTGGTTTGAATTAATTAAATAATGATAGTTTCGTGCTTTTCAATAAAGTTCCATCATATTTCAACCCTTAAAAAGCGACCCTCATTAGAGATTAATATAAAAAAATTAGTAATGCGAAGAAAATGATTTCACCTTGGAACGACTTGCATAAAAATTTGGAATTAAGCTCAACTCACCCTCTGCTTTATAGTTTATGTCATGCCGATGAAGCCTGATTGTTCTTAGGGGTGAAAACTACCCCTAATTTTCAAAAATTGTAAAATAATATTACAAATCCTAAGATGAGTGAAATTTGGTTTGGATTAGTTAAATAGTGAGTTTTTTATACTTTAAAATACAAATTCATACATTTTCAACCCTTAAAAATCAATTGTTATGAGTGCTATAGGTGAAAACAATTTTTTGCCAAAATTTTGCAACTTTTCAACTTTTGAAAATCTTCCTTTACAACATTGCAGTTTTTATAAACTAATTTATAAGATATAAATTGAAAAAAGTAGAATTAAATACAAAAAAAATTATCAACATAAAAAGGCACCATATATTCTTATACATTTACATAAATACTTGAAAATATTTACATTTATAGGTAAAATAATTATAATATTAATTTTATTCGTCATCAATTACATCTTCATCGTGATCTATGTCATCATCATCTTCCTCAATTATTGGTGGACTGTTATTGCACCCTTCACCTGAGCACCCAGGACAAGTAGAGTTACAGTATAAACCAACTTTTCTGCACCCATATGAAACGCCGCATCCTTTTATGCATTGGCAAAAAAAAATTTCAAAAATTTATCGGGTGCAGGTTGTTTGTTCATGCGTACGGGTAATAACAAACCATCTTTGGAAAACCATCCCCAATCTGTTGCTCTGATATTTTCATTGCCAATCCATAGACATATGAGCAGATGTTTTATTCTGTTGTATGGGATTTCAAAATAAGAACGCTTAAAATTTCGAATGTATAACGCCCCACTAGCTAATATACCGGTTTTGTAGATTATTATGCTCCGAAATGTACTGTACTATACTAATGGAATTTTCCGGAAAAAAATTAACTGGTTTTTTAACGTATTTCCTTTAATTTTTAACGATAGATGTTTCTTCAAAAACGATTTGTAGAGGTTTTTAATAGCTACAAGGATCTGTGAATTAAATACAATGGAACCCTTGGTTTTTAAATGGGGTGAGTTTAAAGGGCTCGAAAAAGATGGTGTTTGATCGTACATCGATGCTTTAAACGGCTATATCTCGCCAAATATTCATTGTACAACAAATCTAAATAAAGGATAATTTTAGTCATTAAAAAAGCTACAATTTGGTAATTTTTATTTTTTTCATATATTCAGTATTTTCGGGCATATTTAAAAAAAGAAGGGTAAAAAATATGAAATTGTAAATCGTTTCTCGCTTTAAGCTGTACTTTTTCTAAAACTAAGCATTTTAAATGGGTCAAACTTCTTGGACGTATTAACAATACATCTACAAAGGGAATTGCAGAAGGGTGAAGATCGATTTTAATTATGGGGGTGGTTAGGGTGTTGCTTTCCTCGATTTTTTCGTAAAAAATTAGGTATTGACCTTATTTTTTTATGATAGGTCTATTTATGCTCTTTAAAAAAGGTTTTGTGAGTTTTCTTCCAAAAATGCATAATTTTCCCGATATTTGACTTTGAATCTTTCAAATTTGGCATTTGAAGAAAACCGCTGAACATTGATATTGTATTTGTAATTGTATTTGTCTTTTTAAAAGCTACAAATTTGTTCTCTACAATTTTTTTGATAAAATGCACCATTTTCGAGTTATTCGCGAAAAATCGATTAAAAACGTGGATTTTTTCGTCTAAAAGTTGTTACTTTCAATCGCGAATAACTTGAAAAATATCATTTTATAAAAAAATGTATAGCACATTTTTTGTTTAGAATCACTTTTCTAATCGAAACCTGTAGTTAAAACGTAAAAAAATTTTCACCCCGGAGATGGGGTGGCAACCCCTAGGCTTTGGCGCGCTTTGGTTCGATATAGATTTTGATCCTTAGGCTATTACCTACCTTCTGTTAAATTTCAAGTCAATTCACGCCGCACGAAAAAATTGCGAGGTGAAATGATACATTTCCTGGACTATAACTGGTTTGACAGCATAATAAAATCGTAGATTTATGTGTAGCTTTCAATTTTTATGAGTTCAGAATCCAGCAGCCCGCTTAAGTATGGGATTTTTTATAATATAATTATTTGACAATCTTTTGTTGGCCAACCAGCTACAGCAGAATTGAGCCGAAATACATTATATTCCTATGTTCCGAATTTATTTCCTTCAATCTGTATATATATATATATATATATATATATATATATATATATATATATATATATATATATATATATATATATATATAATATATATATACAGATCACACCCCAGGAAGCGAACTCGTACATTTTTATCTTAAGAAAATACACTGATTAATATATTTTACCTTTATTAATTCTGTTTAGGTGAGGATAGGTTGAGTTTCGTCCGTAGGACGTCAGTAGGTCATCTCACGCCCCAGGAAGTTAACTTGTATATTTTAACTTAATAATATACGCTAATTAATATAATTTACCTTTATTATTTTTGTTTGGATGAGGATAGGTTGAGTTAGATAATAATAATTAACAGAACTCTTATATTTTTATCTTAATATATTAAGATATTTTATCTTAAATTAGTTTTGTTTAGGTTAGGATAGGTTCAGTTCCCTTTCTGGGGTGTGAGATGAACTATTGACACCCCATAAAAGGAACTCATATTTTATCCTAATAATATACATCGATTATTATATTTTATCTTAATTATTTTTATTTAGGTTAGGATAGGTCATTTTACAGCCCAGGAAGGAAACCTGTAAATTTTATCTTAATAATATACACTGATTAATATATTTTATCTTAATTAGTTTCGTTTAGGTTAGGATATATTGAGTTCTCTTTCTGGGCAATGAGATGACCTACTGAGGTCCGTAGATCACCATATGTTGGCTAGACATAACAAGACATCCAATATATTATTTTTATTATTTCTGAAGATTTTCTATATCGACCTTGCACAGGTAACCAGTTAATCTACTGCATATAGTTCCAATTGTTGTATATTCATCACTGAAGCTAGTATAAAAACATAAAGTGTTCCACATTTACAAATGAATTGTTAATATTTAATATTATTGAATTGTCATTTTTTTTTATAATAACATATTTATAAACACATTTAACTTATTTAATACTGAGAAGAATTACAGGAATTATTCTGAGAGATCGAAAGATAAGTGAAGACATTAGAAGAAAATGTAACATACTGTCTATAAATGAATGGACACAAAATAGAAAAGAAGAATGGAATAACAACATAAGCAGAATGGAGTAGACAAGTGGAGTGACAACCTTCCATAGAGGTATTATTCCACCAATGAACAAGCAGAATTGCTATAAACAGGAAGAAGAATGTAAATTCTTTGAAATTTAAGAACACTTAAAACATTGTAAATTCCTTATGATAAATTTAGTAAAATTACCATGTTAAGCAAATCCCATACTTTTATCTAAATAATTTGAAAATAAAACTCTATCTGCAACCCCATACTGTTTTAAATCTAAAAAGTTTTTGTATAACATATCATTCAGTGTATCACAAGTACAATAATATAAGTAGCCATTATCTTGAAGCTGCCCTGCTAATTCTATTTGATGGTTATCCATTAAATCTTCATTAACTACAACTAACAAATGTTTTCCTTTCTTAAGCACTTCCAAACAAGTTCCTGCTCCTGCATGACTAATTACTAAATCACTGTTTACTATTTCTTGTTCGAAATCTTCAAAGTAGGAATCGTATTTTATTACCAACTTGTCTTGGATTTCTATAATAACAGAGGTTCCTTCCTGCTTTATTGTGTGTGGTAAATCAACAACTGGTGGTTTAATGACATCTTTTCCGGTTTGAATTTGAATATAATCATACCCTAAAGATATGAAAGAACGAATCACTTTCTCGTTAGTAATTGTATTAATTAGTTTTGGAAATTTTGTTGTTCCGACAGTTACAAATATTCTCTTTTTCATCTTACCAGTCTTTCTGTGGTCTTACTCAGTATTTTGACATTTCACATTTTTTAGGTTAGAAATGTTTGTTGTGTTGGTTTATGATACTATGACCACAGAATAATAAGCAATCAGAATGCCCACTTTCCATGGAAAATTAAGTACGCGCAGATGTTCCGCCATGTTTTAGAGGGAACCAGTGGTGTGCATAGACAAAATTAACCCGGTTCAATTGACTTACGGCAATCATAGACGTACTATACAATTATATTAACATTGTTAAATCTAATAACATAAATATAATTAAACATAATTATAAACAATTACATAACCATGTGTTTCCTTCTAAAACATGGCGCGCGTGCTGAAAAACTTCAAAGGCGGCATCTGATTGTTTATTATTCTGTGCTGTGACTAACAAGATAGGATCTTCCCGTAGCAAAAAATCGGTCGTGTTCGCGCATGCCGTCATTGGAGAGTAGAATTTAAATTCTTGTTCAAGTTAAATGGGGGATTTGTATGCATTCTGTGATGAAATTACTAGACGAAAATAAGTTAAGATTGATACATAGGAAAAACTAACATTTCGAACGTGCAACTCTCCAACATCTTATCTTCATAGTCATGTGATCATAGTATCATGTGTTGGTTCCTTAAAGGCTGATTTATAAACTTTACATTGGCAAGCCGCCAATGACAGGAAAGCAACCAGAAAACTAAAGTCACTGGGCATATCACACAGAATATAAATTCTTAAATAAAATTGAGCATTTATGTTTACTTTCAATAAATATGAAATATTGCACTGAAAAAATTACATGCAGGGCCGGCTCTTGTTGACATTCTAAATGGTGTAATTATTTTTGATTTACAAAAGGTTGCAAATACATCGCACAACGCAAAGTAATGGTGGAAAATCTTAAGATGTATGTAATTACTTCATTCAACAAGGAAACTGGTTAATTTTATGCAAATGCCAAACGGTATGGAAAAATTATTCCCACATGGAACTACTTCAAATTTCAACCTTACAGCATTTTTAATATACATGAAACCGGAATTATAAATTTTCAGGCTAAATCAGTAGATTATCATTAAAATCCAAATCTTTTTCCGGAATGTCATCTAATAAATGAATAAAATGAGATAAGTGAATAAATAAAATTTTTTATCAATTTTAGAATCATAATTGTTTTTGTCAGTTTCTTTCAAATAAGTTTTTATTTTTATCAGAATTGATGCTTTCATTTCCATTACAAGTAAATTCAGGAACCATCCAAACATATCCTGAGATTTAAAAATTGTGTTCGCAATATAAATGCACTTCACAAGACATCTCTTGTGTTTGTCCAACATTTCTACGAGAAAACAATAATTTTGAAACTTCTAATACACCTGTGCCATAAAGAAATGTAAAAAAAAACATAGTGTTATTTTAATTTATTTGTGTATTTTAATTACACAATATCAAATTTAACAACATTTTAAGATTCTTGATCTTGGAGTTTGGCAATGTAGGACTTCTTTTTCTGTGCAACACGGTCCTTGCGTTCAGCCAAAGTAAGCTTCCTACGGTTCCATCTCTTCGCTGGTGCAGGAGCCTTTTCTGCTTTCTTTTCTAATTCTGGATTTGCACGAATAGCAGCATGGGCATTCTTGTACATATTTTCAACCTAAAACAAGCAAATTAAAACTCAATTGTTTTACAGAAAATAAAAAAAATGTATCAATAGCAAATTTAACCAAGTTTTATTGAAAATGTACCATGTTTTACATTAATTATAGCAAAAGTGCCAAAATTAAGAACAAAACATGAAATAATTACTGTAGTCCAATTGCGACACAGCTATCTTACTTAACAGAAAGCAATAATTAAAATTGGACGAACAGCTAACAACAATTACCTATAAACAAGCATATTACCTGGTCAGCATTAATTCCCAACTTAATGTACTGACTGAATTGCCTCTTGAATGCTTCTGGATCTTCCTCCTCCAGTGATTTCATATAATCAGCAACATGGACGCCAAAAATGTGATTTCTGTGGACCTCAGCGTTGAAGCTTTTTGATTCACTGTCAAAACCAGGGAATCTTTTTGTAGAGTGGGGAATGTTTAAGCCTCCATCAACAGCTCCTTTCATTGCTCCAAAGACACGGGCACCAGTACTTGTACGGTTTAAACCTGTATCTAAGTAACACCTGGAATAAAAAAGGCTTCAGTCAAGTTTGCTAGCAATAAATAAAAGTTTTTAATAAATTTGAGATAACCAATGAGAGCAGCACAGCTCTGCCAGAACTAAAAAGAGACCCAAATAAATTTTTAAGCATAAGAACAGAAGTAATAGGAAAATTGCTTAGTGAAGAAACTACAATATTTCATGGGATTTAAAGTAATACAGTATACCAGATGGTGAATCATCAAACAGGCCATAGGAACTTGGGAAAAACTATTGAAACAGACTAGGAAAATTGCTTAGTGAAGAAACTACAATATTTCATGGGATTTAAAGGAATACAGTATACCAGATGGTGAATCATCAAACAGGCCACAGGAACTTGGGAAAAACTATTGAATTCCTACTTCCCTAATTATTTTACATGAAGGTCATGAGAAACTGTTGAAGAGATACAAGAGATCTGTATTGGAAACAAATGTTAAAATTGCTCTGCGAATCAAACACTTTCCCAAAATTTACAAATATTAGTACATTTGCCAGACTATGGTTAGGACTAAAAGTTAGGCCACACATAGTGTAGAATGGGTTGTGTTTGGTCACAATTATTATTAATATTTGAATTGTCGTTATTTTCATTTTATGTGTTTTTATTTTCATTTCATTTTAAGAAAGTTAAAAAGTTGATTAGTTTAAAAAACAAAAAAGTTGATAAATATACTTAGTTGAGGAGAATGTTGCAATGTTATTTCAGGCAATAGTGCATACACTGTCAGATTTTTATTATAAATTTCCTTCATATAATACAACTAAATTGTTTTACAGACAATACTGAATGAATCAACAGCAAATTTAAGTAAAACCTATGCTGAAAATGTAAGATTTTAATAGAAATGTACCATGTTTTACATTAATTGTAGCAAAAGTGCCAAAATTAAGAACAAAACATGAAATAATTACTGTAGTCCAATTGCGACACAGCCTTCTTATTTAACTACAGAAAGCAGTAATTAAAATTGGACGAACAGATAAATACATATAAATTTCAAATGTCATCAAGAACTAAGAGAAAGAAATGCTGAGAGATAAGAGGAAGATAATGCAATTTTAGAGAGGGCTGGCTAATGTAATTGGATAATTAAAAAAAAATTGTTAACAATAAATGTATTTTTACTTTAAAGAATGAACCAATTGTTCAAAAATGATTTTATCAACAGGAAGGCCTGAAAATATTAATGAAAATAATACTGAATATCTTCACAAAATAAATGTCTTGTTAGGAATATTTAGACATATTGTTGGACCATTTCTTTTGTGAGGAAAATTTAAATTCACAAGAGTTTTTGGACTTGCTACAACAAGGAGGAGTTTTATTAAAAACAGTTTTAATAATTGTTCTATTGGACATAACTGTAAAACCAAGTTAACTATGAGATCAGAGCCCCAAAAGGGTGGATTGTATAAACATTACTTTTATGTTTAGAAATTCTATTTTTTATTCATTCTTTAAATAACAAATGTAGTTATAATTAGAAATCAGTCTCAGTACTTTTAAACTTTTTAAAATCCTTTTGAATTGTTGCATAACCTGGAATTGGTCTATTAGAATATCTTACATTAGACATCTGGCAGTGCATTATTGCCTGAATAAACATTATTTCTGATTTTTGCTTAACAGAGTAGATTTCATTAACTTTATTGGAAAGTCTAACAGGTGATACTCTGATTTTGTGTTCCATATTAAACTGATTACAGTATAAAGAACATTTAGGTATTTCATATACAAGTAAATCCAAAGAACCATCAATATAAAACTAAATATAAGAGAGAAATTTGTAGAAAAATAATTCGCCTATAAATAACAGACCAGCAGCAGCATTGCAACAGATGCCAAGGTGGGATATGGAAAGTTTTTTAAATGCAGAGGTATTCAGCACCCTCAACAAAACTGTTTTCTACAATCATAAACTGCTTGTGCTTGCAACTGTTTTGTCATCTCTACACTGTTAAAGCATGGGGATTTAACAATGAGACAATCTCACTGAAATTGGTTTTCAATTAGTCTAGAACTGATTTTATTTGATCTTCCTACCATGGCCACAGTTGTGTTGCAGCACATTATTACCTGAACATTTGGGAAACATTGTAAATACTTTCAGATTAATCAAATTATATGTAGAAGGCTGGTAAAAATTTTTTGGTTTAATTATTTAAACTTTGGATGATTTTTTATTTCAATTCATAGAAAAATGAATACCCTACTACAGACATTAATAAAATAGTTTCAAGTACAATCAGTTTCAGACCATAGCTATAAAAAAAGTTTATTTATGGTCATTTCTGTGACATAAAACTACAGAAATGACCTTAAATCAGAATCCACAACTAAGACATATGGACTAAGTCGTGAAGGATTGGATGATAGATCACAGACTAGAACTCACAGTAGAGAAGACTGAAGCCATCATTCTAAAGAGTAAACAGAAAAGGCAAGGAATGGAACTCCTATGTGCAGGGGTACAACTAACATCAAATAAATGAATCAAATATCTAAAAGCTACACAACAGCAATATGGTAGACGGGGGGAGCATGTATAGATGGTAGCCTAGACCAGTGGTTACCAACTTTTTCCTATGATCGCCCCCTTACACAAGTTTCAACAGTTATGAATACTACAAACACCCCCTGAATATCTCAAATCTCCCCCCAGCTGGGAATCACTGGACTAGAAGGTAGCTGTGATGGAAAGGGTGATACCTAACATTGAATGATCCAAATCAGAAAGGATGAGGGCCTTACTCGATACGAGTAGATAGAACAAGTCTGTCGCAAGTAGCATGTGCCTACAGGACTATATCTGCTGCTGCTGCCTTATGGACTATCACAGGTTGTGGTCCTCTGCATGTGTTAGTAGTAGTAGTAGAAAGGAAACATCTCTACGAGATTATTATTGTGAGAGATGATAGGAAGTAAGGAGGGATAGAATATCATACATAATTATAATCAAACAGTAATTAAAAAGAAAAGGGAAGAGAAACACCAGCCAGACCAATGACAGAGATAAAAGAAGGTAGTGCTCCAAAAGTCTCCATTCTTCCCACTTTTAGAGTACTGTATGTGTAGTAGTCAACGGAGCACAAGTAGGAGAGGGTGGTTTTAGTTGGTAGGCAGGATAATAGGAATGCATCTGTTTGCAGCACCTCTTTCTTCTAAGGGTAAATGGGCTCAGATGTATTCCTCTATCCTGAATTCAACACATGCGAGCCATCTCTAGGGATGGGTTTCAGTAGACAGGATAACAAGAAGGCATCTGTTTGCAGGACCTCCTCCTTCTAAGGGGAAATGGGCTCAGATGTATTACTCTGAATAAATGCAACACATGCCAGTCATACCTAGGGATGGGTTGACCTGGTACAGTTTTTAGAAATTTCCACCCTCAGAGAGAAAAAAAGATGAATCAGCTTAATGAGTCACTTATTTATCTGTACAAAATCTGAAATATAAATAAGTAAATTCTCGATTTGAATTCATAAAGGCCCTATTTACAACAAAATGGATGTAAATTATTTGCAACTGAAAACTAAGCTCAGTTGTTTGAAATTAATTAGTTATCAAATGCTACATTTTTGATCTATCCTGTGACATTTAGATGTGGCCACTATGCCTAGACACCTTTGAAATGGCACTCTATTGCAGAATCCTCAGAATATTATAAACATCACACAACCAATGAAGCCTGATACATAGACTACCAACATGACAAATAGAATGTAGTTACATGATAAATCCTAAATTATTGAAGGAAAAATAGAAGGCCACATAGGTATAGAAACAATTTAATGGCTTCACATCAGTGTTGAAGAGGCATGACTGTAGAATATTACAGAATAAGAAAAATTTTGATTTAGTGTAAACAAACCTCCAGTAATAGAGTGCACCAAAACATTTTTTCTAACACTAAGAAATAATTCAAAATACTTTATATAACAATATCTACATATAAAAATATAACTTACACTACCAGATCACATTTTCAATAGATTCAAATTAGTTTGATCATGTATGAATTGATAAATACAATGCCAGACTTGAATGTTGAGTGTTCACTTAGGCAACAGTACGCAATTTACCCAAGGAATCACCAATCCAAGATCTGACAGCGCCCCCAGTGTCTTAACTTCGGAGATCTTACGGGATCCGGTGTTTAACAACTGAGGTAAACCGTTGCCTTTAATAATGCTAGTAAAAGAATGTTTTGTCCTAAAAGCAAAATTGTTTATTGACACAATATTCAATTTTATTATTTACTCATTGTCAAAATAGTTTTACCTGAATGCTCCTGGTCCTTGCTCAGCAGCTTCCACATTGTATTCATCCCCAGTAACATCAGTGGTACCACTGTATAAATTGTCAAGTCCCAATTTTTTTAAGAGCCTCCTTGCTAACAGTAAACCAGTAGCATAGGCAGCAGCATAGTTGGTAAGACCAGTTTTAATTCCATATCTTCAATAATATAAAGATTAAATAAACTGAACTTTCTATATAATTATGAAATATTCAAAACAAACTAAATTATACTAACTTTGGCAATTCATGGGAGTAAGCAGCACATACAATCTTGTCTCCTTCAATACGAGAGTAAGCAATTTGACAAGTAATGTCCCTGTTGGAAATACGTACAATCAGACGGTACTTAGGAGTGTTGTACTTGTTCTTGTCTTGAACAATCAATCGTTTACGAGCATAGTAGTCAGTTTTTCCTTGCCTACGCCTCTTGAATTTAACTTGGAACCTCTTGAAGTACTGCTTGTTCTTAACAACTTTCACAAAACCCTAAAACAACATAAAAACCTCTTTATTTAAACTACAATTGATGGAACATGCCATTATAAAAATCTTAAAACATCCTATGTGTACAAATAATTAAACAAATATTAATAACACATTTCCAAACAGAATTACATTCTGAACTATTTTTAAAATATATTTTGTTTAGTACTTACCATGTTTCAAATGTATGCACAAATTTTATTCGTAACCTACGGTTCAACCTCCTCCGCGGTTCATAAGCAAAAGATGGAGTTGTCAATGTCAAGTTGTCAAAAGCGCAATCTCAGATATACGTACACCAACTTTTCAGGATAGCCAACATTTAATTATTAACAATCTCTAAATTGAAGATTGTATTTCTCTAAAATTATCATTTTACAATAATATATTTATTATTATTATAATTTAAATAATATGATAATAAAGAAATTATTATTGTATAACTGAAAATTACATTATTTAAAAACCTAAATCATTTCTTACAAAAAAATGCTCCTCATATAAAGAGGATAAAAATAAATCTGTCTATTATACAAAGTTTATTTTCTTAAGGCTAGATAAATTCGCAACCAGCATATGTTTTTAAAACAATAATCCAGATTATTTGAAGGTGTAAATTTTACTGTAAATGAAATATTTCAGCATGGTACTGGCTCTTAAATGGAAATTTTTTTCAGTCTTAGAGATGTCAATTATCGGATTACAGATCATAATGAGACAAAAAATCTAATATAATAGGTACATGTAAAAATATATTTACACCAAGAATCCCTAAAAAGGTTTACAAATACATGTAAACAACAACTAATTGCAGAATCCTTATAATCAACTTCGCGAACAGCAGAAATTTAATTTTGATCTATGCAGTGCAATGGTGGACTCTGAAATTCCACTAAATAAATTGCAAAATGAAAGTTTTAAATCATATTTGGAAAAGTACTGTCCGATGTGCCGGATCAAAGTACTCTGCGAAAAATTAATATTAATTGCGTTTACAAGGAAACCATAAAAAAGTAAAAACACTTGTGAGGAAAATTACATCTGATTTGCTGTGGACGAGACTACAGATATTTGTGGAAGGTACGTCGCTAATTTAATCATAGGCGTTCTTCACGAATAAGTCTTGACGACGAGTTATTTAGTGTGCTCGAAAGAACTGGAATCAACAAATAACAATACAGTTTAAAGATTCGTAAATAAAGTTTTAACAAATATTTTTATCTTACAAGGCTGTGTCCACTAATAAAATATAGTCCGGTTGTCAGAGAATTGAACCCTAAAAATCATACGAACAAACTGAATTTTGGCGAAAATATTAATTTTGGAACCTCAAAAAGATTTAAAAAGTTTATCACTTTTACTTCCTGGCTTTCTCCTAAAACCCTCCTCATAGGGGGATAAAAACGCAAAAAATCGATTTACCAAGAATCTGTACGCCGCAGAAAAAATGTTTTAAATAGAAAATGTAGCTGAGATAATTTTAAACGAAAATGTTTATCAGCACTTTTTGTTTAGAATGAACCGTTCTCTCAGAAACAACGCTTGAAGCGACTGTCGATTTTAAATTTTAGCGTGCGAAATCAATGTTTAATAATATTTGTATCAGCTTGACGGTAAAAAATTTATATCTTTTGATCCAAGTGTCCTATCGACAAAAATCAAGGCGTGTTTTAAAAGTAAAGAGAGCAGCTTTCGTATGCAGTTTCCGTATTTTGCTAAGAATAAACAAGTTTTTATAAAGGTGTTAAATAAATAAAAATGACGCGACTTTTGGCAATTTTTTACGATTCTCGTGAGATCAATAAAATTGATCACTTTCATTGACCATTCGTAGTAAACTTTCCATTTTTAGAGATAAAGCTGTAAAACATAATGACATGAAATTTACATTTGAAGTTGTGGCAACAAATATGAGGCATTTGATATATGAATAAGAAATGCAGAATTTAATGTTTTACATTACAAAAGATTGCACGTCACGCAAAATGCATCTAAGAACACGGTTTTGGGTGTAGTTTATAGCAAAAGTTTGGTTCTTAAAAACATGCTTTATATATAAATACATATACATAAACATATTTTAAATGCCTCACATTTGTTGTCAAAACTTAAAGTAAAATTTCATGCTATGAAGTCGTGAAGTTTAGGCTCTAGTAATCGAAACTTCTTAGTGACCAGGCAATGAAAGGGATATATTGTATTGATCTCGTGAAAATCATAAAAAATGGCAAAAGTCGCTCTGTGTTTATTTATTTAACATCTTTAGAAAAACTAAGTTTATTCTCGGTAAAATACGGAAACTGCATACGAAAGCTGCTCCCTTTAATTTTAAAACGCGTCTTGATTTTTGTCGATAGGATACTTGGATCAAAAGATATCAAATTTTTACCTTCCAGCTGATACAAATATTATCGAACATTGATTTCGCAAGCGTAAATAACGCTTTAAGCGTTGTTTGGGAGAGAACGGTTCATTTTACACAAAAAAAGCTAATTAACTTTTTTAAAAGTGGTAAACTTTTTTGCATCTTTTTTGGAGTCCCAAAATTAATAGCCTTGCCGAAATTCAGCTTGTTTGTATGATTTTTAGAGGTTAAGTGGCATTTTTGCGTCTGACGACTGGAGTATAATGCTTTCCGATGCTGCGTCATCAAAACAGCATCAAATCTTAAAGTTTTTTATTCAAACCCAATTCACTGTACGTGTCTAGCACATGGCGCCCAAATCGCGTTGGTGAGACTATACGGCTACAATTTTCATTTGTTAATGAGTTAATAAAAAATTGAAATTTTTTTTATTAAAGCTCCTTTAAGGGTGCAACTTTTTAGAAAAAGATTGCCTAAAACTCTATTATCACCTGAACCAATATAAACTTGGTGGGTTATATGGTGAGCTGCAGCTTTATAAGCTTTGTAAAGCCGAATATAACGAAAATTTTAAATTCTTCATATTGGAACTTCAAGATACTGCTAACAAATCGTTAAAATATTGTCAGGATGTTTTAGATGAAACAGAACTAGGTACAGCTTTAATTAAAAGCAATTTTTGTTTTGTCAGTTAAACTAGGGATGGCGGTTTTTGACAAAACACCGGTTTTCGGTTATACCGGTTTTTTTTGCTTACGGTTTAACCTGGCGGTTATAACCGGCCAAAAAAAAACCGGTTTTTCCAAAAACCGGTTCTCGGTTTTTTTAATCCAATAGGTTACAAAGTAACATTAACAATGAATTTTAGCTTGCGATACTTCATTCGACTCGATTTCAATATGATCAAAATTAGTACTATCGAAAGAACATTATTACCTATATAAATACAACACGTTTATGCTTTAAATATGTAACGTAAGAACCAATAGTATCGCCTTCTATTATAAATTATGCGGTTTAAATGTTAAAATGTTTACTAACGAAAGAATGAAAATGAAACTATTTAGAGTGATTATTGGTATGGCAATCGCAGAAACGCTGTTTAAAAGTTAAAGACCTTAAATAATTAGGTCGTATTATTCTAAACACCCATAATTCAAATTTTATGGGACCAAAGGCGGCTCACATCAGATCAGAATTTAATTTAGGTCATAATATTTACCATATATACATAAAATTTTAAGAGTGGGTGAATGATTTATGGTTACCAATACGTGCCGATACCCAATGATGTTAATTGTTATGGTTTAGGGATCAAATTACAATTACGAATTTCCGGGATTTCTCATTCTTTGTATTTAATTTTTAAACAATACAGGGAAGTATCAAATAAATTTTAATACAAACTTATTGAAAATAATATCAAATTTTTTGTGATGATAACAAATTTAAACAGTAGATTTCCGAATCGAAACAAACCTAATAACCTAATAACCGGTTTTTACTTTAAAAATAAAAAACCGGTTATAACCGGGACACAAAAACAACCGATAAAACCGGTTATTGCGAAGTAAAAAAACCGGTTTTCGGTTAAAACCGGTAGGTTTTTCCCATTCCTAAGTTAAACCACAGAACACATCACCAAACAAGAAGCGAAACGAAAGGCTTTTTTGCAATCCAAATTTCTGTGACAGTCATGTTCTAAATAGTTTATCTGTCAACCTATAAAAACTTAAGTTTGTTATTTGTTTACGTATTGAGAAGTGTTGTTTCGTGTGTGTTGTTTAATAGCAAAAAAAGAAACATACTGTTATACATATTTTTGTAATAAACTTATTGTGATGACTGCACGAAAATGAGGATTTTATTGTGTTGTTCGTGGGTCTCTATCTAAATCTGGCAAGGAAATTAGGTAAGTCTCTCTTCAATACCGAGAAATCGTAGCAGGCAAACAAATTAAATTTGACATTCAAACGGTTTACAAAAGTTATTTGAACATTTATATTTTAGTTAAATATACTTTTTTTAGAAAAAATACAATTTATACAAAACAGATCTACTTAAAAACATTAGTTTTAATGATTCTCAGTGTAACTATAATTTGACTACAGTTTTGACTACAGTTTTAAACGACTTCTTCATTACTTTTCTTAGTGTACTAAGTAGTTTAACTGTCATTGTCACTCCGAAATTTCTGTCCTACGAACGTCAAAGATACCGACAAAGCTTTCGCTTCTTGTTGGGACCCACGTGGAGTATATATAGTGGTGGAACTGTGGTGAAACAATCAGCTTTGGAGTCAGTGGAGTGAGTAGTCAGTCTACTTCGTGAATTCGTAGCGAACGGTTGTATACGTGTTTTCTCGTTTTTAGGTTCCCGTCTCGTCCTACAGCAAAGGATCAGTTGACAGCCATAGGCATTGTCTACAAGCTGATCGCTTGGGCGGACGCACACCTGGAGATAAGAGAACAAAGAAGGCGATAAGAGCGACAACAATAGAACAATAGGACCATTGTCCATTGTTCTATTCCCATTGTTTAACTTCAACGGTTTTTCTGAAAACCGTTGGGGCTCATAGAGCTGTTATTGTGTTGGTTGGGTGCTCCCGTCTACTGTTTCGGAGATTCTGTTGGTCACGGTGAAGGCTAGGTGGATGGTAGTGTAAGAGCCATCCGCGGCCGTAGCCGGGGCTTTCAGCCTCCGTTAGGGTGATAGGACGACCAGTCCGGCATTGTAGCGGTTCCTTGAATTTATTTTTAGGTAAATTTTTAGGTTTAAGAGGAAAATAAAAAGAAAATAAACAAGTCAGTCGTGATCTATAGGTGCTGCAAATTTTCATCTGGGGCAGTTCGTCCTACACATTCTACTAGTTAACT